TGACTACAGGAAGCCCGAGGCAGAGTTGCTCTGCCCCGGGCTTCCTGGAATCACCTGCTGATCAGTTTCAGCAGCAGCTGACTTGGGGAACGCTTGGGGTTCTTAAGTTGATTCTGTATGTAAGTCAGAACTGGCGGTCAGTTTGAGCAGCGGCTGAATCTGGACGCCAGTTCCGACTTACATACAGATTCAACTTAAGAACAAACCTATAGTCCCTATCTTGTACGTAACCCGGGGACTGCCTGTACTTAGTGTTTTTGCTTATTATTTACTTAGCATTATGTCACCAGTACTAAGAATTGTTAACTTGTTCTCCTGAACATCTGTAGAAAAAAGCCTTTTCATGAAAATAATATATAAGCACTATACGCAGTGCCATGGGCTGAGTTTTCATTAGCTACAGAGGATCAGGATTAGATCTGCGAGAGTCACCAACTTTGCATAACAAAAAATCATCATTCTGAATACTTAAAGTGTCAAACCAAAATTCTGCCCCCCCCCAAAAAAAGCTTCTTTCTAAGGCGAAAACCAGAACATTTTTGAGTGGACAGCGCATAGTCAACCTGTGGAACTCCTTGCCAGAGGAGGCTGTGAAGGCTAGGACGATAATAGAGTTTAAAGAGAAGCTAGATAATTTCATGGAGGTTAGGTCCATAAAAGGCTATTAGCCAGGGGATAAAATGGTGTCCTTGGCCTCTGTTTGTCAGAGGCTGGAGAGGGATGGGAGGAGACAAATCACTTGATCAATGTCTTTGGTCCAACCCCTCCGGGGCACCTGGCACTGGCCACTGTGGGCAGACAGGCTGCTGGGCTAGCTGGACCTTTGGTCTGACCCAGTACGGCCGTTCTTATGGACTTCACATATGGACTCCGAACCGTTTTCACACGGCCCAACGGTTTTTTCCCCGGGTCGGTTTGTGGGTTTTCCCCACCGGCCGAAACGATTCGGCGCATTCGCTCCGGCGCGTGCGACAGGAAATGTACTGTTCGCCAAAACGCCTCCCGCGCTTCCAGTCAGCTCTGGGCCCGGCGGCTTCTCGGCCTTCACCTCGCAGCCAGCCCGGCGCTTCTTGGGCGGGGGCGACCAGGCCCTGCCGG